GGATCCTGATTTTAACGAAGAAAAGAGTATGCCCGGGGTCGTCCGCTTTTTCCTAATGGGTTTATATATACCATTTACTTCAGCCGACTGGCAAATGGTCTAAACATATTTTAGTTAATTAACTTTAAATACCTTGCGAGTAAAATTACTATTTTCAAGGCATACTGAGTGTTTTTAAGGAGATCCATCCTGCATACATAAATTTGAGCTTCGTTAAGTTACCTATCGGATTTTACACTCTGTTACAATATTCTGATAATCTTATATCATATTTTTATACGCCTATTTGTCTATCAAATTTAGAACTTAGGAAAACAAGATCAATAATCATTGCCTTTATGTTTGAATTCCTAGAAAGCTGAAATTTCAGGAAAATGTATCTTCTCTCCTTTTTAAATAGGGTTCAAGACAATAATTTCTTGTTTCTATATATAATAGTGTGCACTAAAGGATATTTTTTATTTTTTTAATTCGCTTGATTCCAGAATTTCTGTAATTTCGTTGACGTGAATATCTTTAATTTCAAAGAGAATGCGCACTTTCATTACCGTATGGGCTGGTATTTATTTGAAAAGTAAATACGACAGTTCATTTTAAACATAAATATTTGCTAAATAAATATGCTGCTCGGATTTTAATCGATTTGAAACTATTTGAAGGTCTAACGGGAGCAACATATATATGATTATATACCTTTACGTGAGAGAGTAGTAGCGTTAGGAAAAACAAAAGCAATTATCTCGAGGGATAAATCACTGAAAAAAACGTGTACACTGAAATTATTTTTCGAAAAAAAAAGACAAAATTCCCTAGGCTGCTGAATTCTCGAAATTCCCGACAGCTTTACATGAATTACCCAAATATTAGTTAATAAATTTTGTTACTCTGCAAATGATGTGTTTTTAATAAAAAGAAGAATAATAAATGATGAACCAGTTTAAGTTAGCATTACAAAAATTAAAAAAAAAATTAACTACGTAGTAAAAAAAAGTATGATCAACCCTGGAACATCCTAGCAAGAGAAAAAAAATTGTTGACTGTGATATTTTCACTTTCCTATAACATTAGTGTTGGACCTTGCAAATTGCAAATTGCAAACCTCGTTTGCAAATTTTCAAGAAATAATATAAAGTATCAAATTGCATAACATGTTCATGAGTCATGTTTAGATCTAAAAACTGAAATTAAGTCTACCAGTAAAGCTTTATTAATCCTAAAAATACACCTCTTCTAGTTGAAATCTTTGAGGTCCAAGGTTGTATACCTAAGAAGTAAAATATATGTTTTTGACCAATTTTGGAATGTCCTCTTTCGCAGTCTATTTTTTCCATGTTTTTGAACATATTTCCTAGAAGCCTCAGTGCCTCGTCACGTATTTTTATTCCTCGAAATACCCTACAATGTTTTACAATACCTTGTAATTCCTTACTCCTTCAAAAAAATTTAAATTTTATTGAAGGAGTGGAATTGGTCAAGAATAAATTATAGCTTATGCTTATCTATATATGTATATTTGAACTTACCTTAAATTCTGTCACTGAACGATACGTTTTATATTAAATGAAAAGTTATAATCAAAATATTCTCTATTTATCTAGACCACGATGCTTATCTGTCGTTGGAAAAATTATAGCGTGAAAGAAAATGGACGTTTGAGTAGGTGATCACCTAATCCATTTTGTTATCCCTGCTAAATTACGCAATTCCATTATCGTAATGAAACTTTATATTTATTAGTAATACCGGAAAATTGATAGTAAAATATTTCTGACAATATGCTCGTAGCGGCACATGATTGATTCAACGTCACAACAAAACGGTTACATTGAAATATGGCTTATAGATAATGTCCCTATGTCATGTGAAAAATGTAAGTGACATAAATATTAACAATAAAAAAAAATAAGACAAAACTTTTATCAGCCATAACGTCCTCATCATTATGCTCATTTGCATATTTCTGAAATAATTTCATCAATATTTTTAAAACTTTTTGAACTTTGACAATTTTTAAATCCTAGATCACTTTTTTTTCTGTACGCACCAAATCTATGATATAGAATACTATAGATGATTAGAAATTTTTTAAGGTTTTTTTTTAAAACAACTGAGTCGGTTTAATGACTCCATTGAAAGTGGCGCAAATGAACTTGTACTTTAGTAAGAGTTTATTCTAAATATTTTTAATTAATCTTCAATTATAGATTATAAATCACCAACGGCCACAGCGACTTCTAAAATATTGGACATAGACTGGATAGAAATCGTTCATCAATCCTTATAATCGCGTTTTTCGAACTAAGAGAACAATGCAACAAATGATTTTATTCCGTGACAGCCCATTCATAGTGCTAATATTTGATCGTTTAGTCCTCGTTAACTGTCGATTACAATGTGTGGTTGAAATAAAAAAGAATTCGGATTAAGGCACTGAGAGATTAAATAGCTGTGGTTCTTTAGTACGAATTTTAATAGGAAAACATTAAGAATTTTTTATTAGGTCGTAACTGAAAGCTCAAATAATGACCTGAAAGGGTTTCATTTTACTAAGTGGAAAATAGCTTTTTGATACTTTATTTGAGTGGTTTGGTAGAATTATTCCATTATCGTTAGAGTTTAGATGTGACCGCGGCAGAGACATTAACTTAAAAATTTCAGGTCATTTTTTACACCAGTGAAACCACTTAGCAATGAATTACCGACACTAATGTGGCTGAATATGAAATTCCAAGCAAAAAATAATGTCCGTTTTGCCTGTGGGTTTTTTCATTGCATGGAAAGTTTCTTCGTTCCAGCAGACCAGTATCACCTGTCTTACGCGAACTAATGGATTCTGGTAAAGATAGGATAGGATCGAACGAGTTGTTTTTTCTCGGCATACTCAACATTTTAGCAGTTTTATTTATACAACTAGAAAATCAGTAGAAACCAAGTAGATCCGTTTCTATTTCCACTATTTCAAATTATCATAATGCCATTTTTTTTTTGCTTTGCATTTCTTTATTTTGTGGATTCTTAAGTTGTTTATAGGTGTACACTAAACACTCACTGAGACTTCAACATGTGTTGCTCTATCAATAAAAAATCATTCCCCTACCTAATACCATTCAGTTTTACTTGAAAGACTCAAATTTGCTTTTCCACTTGATCACTCTGGAAGAATCCATTTAATTATGTCGTTCGTCCTTCCTTTAGACCGTTCCGTAGAAAATAAGTATTACATTACATTACATTTTTCATATTCTCTTACTTACTCTACTTGGTAAATAGTTTGAACTATTGAATATTTGAATATTTCGTTCGTAAATTTCAACATACGGTATAGGTAAGCAATATGTCATCCTTCATCTCAAAACTCTTCATTACGAAGTCCTTTCATATGGTCAGACCCTTGCTGGCTGCTGGTAATAGTGTCCTTGTATCTAAAATGTTTTCTCTATCGACTTTTCAGCTGGCAATGACATTTTAATTTCCGATGTCCGCTTCAATCTTAAGCATCGTAAAATAATCCTTTGCCGCATCACTCTCATCGGGACTTATTAGTTTAATTATTACAGATTAAATGGTTATTCAATTTACTGTACAGTTATGGGAAATTCTATATCAATTTTGAGTGTTCAGCGCATAGCGTCGGATTTGATGGTAGTGTAACTATTTGTGTAGGAGGCTTTTTGAAAGTTTAAATAAATATTTATGATTTTTAAGCAATTTGAACTTAAATTTCGCCACCTGTGTACAAGAGTCATGAAATGTCTAGATAAAATACTAAATTAAAAAATTGCATTTGCAAAAATTAGGTTTTCACTTATTTAGCTTTGGTGGAACCGTTAAGATTGCTTTGCGCAAGTTAATTTTTATTTCAGATACGACACAGTCCTTTTCTCTTTTCCACAAATTGAAAATTCATTAAGTGTCTTTAAAATTCTAGGATACAAAACATCAGATTTGTGGAGAACGAAACAGGATTTATGAAGTATCTTAGAACCTCTCAAACTATTCTTATTTTTTAAGCTAAATTATCATGAAGCAACATTCAAATTGGTGACATAAAGTTAACTTGGTTTCCTATGTTAATCCTACCCATTATCAATTTGGATTCATTTATCAGCACAGATTACCGTTATGATTGAGTCCTATCGACTTGTTGATTGTGAGGAAAGGACATCGAAAAATCTTATAACCCAGAATCTCATTCCCAGGGTTTTTCTCCTGTTTGGTTAAGTAATCAAATTTATTTCACAAATCGTATGCTTCCTTCATAGAAACATCATGCAGATTTGTTCTGTGAATGTATAGCGCATAATATGGGAACATATGTATGGGTTCAAAAACCAGCAATAAGAATCTTAGTAGACGTTGACGACCTTGTCACTATTGTTACTGCAGGCATTTATGTACTTCAGGGTCTTCTCGTATTTTTCTTTGCAGTTCTCTCTGTGATCTATAAGTTCATGTTTCTAAATATTGCTCTTCTTTCCAATCTTAATACCCGAACCACGGAACATCTTTTTCCGAGATTTTACAATAAACATTTTCTTTATCCTGCTAAAAACGGCTACTTTATAAGCCAAAATCTGAGTTTGAGTGATAATTTTATACTACTGAAGCAGCTTGGTTTTCCTACTTTTAAAACCTTAGTTACTAGTAAATCTCATGGAACCCGCCTTTTTTTTGGTTTCAATTAATAAGACAAGTGTCCTTAGTTAAAATTTTCAACACTTTAAGTGTTAATGTTTCCCACTACTTTGAAGAGTCGATTTGCTCAATTAAATTTAATTAAATATAATGTGATGAAGTAAAATGTTGGACAAATTCTTTAAGGGTGTGTTTCCTTCTCAACTATAACTTTTGTGAACCATTATATATAGTTGCTTTGCAAACGTAAGAGCTGCTATTGTTGATAATAATTTTACGCCAGAAATCTCACTCACCGGCGTCGTACAAAATGATTGGAGCACACCAAAAACTTCGTTCGTTGTAAAGAGAAAATTTCGACTCACCCTAGCCCCGCAGATGTCCCTTTTCACCCCTCGAACGACGCTGAGCACTCTAGCAAGTCACTATTAGGAAAACGCGCGAAAAGTCACCAACGAAAACTTCGTGTCGAGTTCGTCAGTATCGTCGATCGCGTCGTCGATTCGGTGTCTGCGTCGCGACGCCCCTACGTCCAATCGTCAGAACGCGTTGCGGCAAACTAAAGAAAAACGTCGCCGTCGAGACGCGAACGATGGTAAACATCGCGCATCGCGACGCCGCCTCGGTCGATTTCGGGAACACTCGGTATCGCGACGAGGACAGGTGTGAGGAATGGAACAGGTGAAATTAGTGCAGTCAAACTGGTCTAACCGTAAGGGAGTTGGGATCTCCCGGACTTAAGGGCGCTGGGCAAAACGGCGGTAAATTGGGAAACTGGGTGGCAAATCCGGACAGACGTAAGCCCCCCACGAGATGAACTTGGAAGGGAACAATAATAATTTACTGGATGGGGCCGGTTTGTCTAACGCTATTAAAGACGCGAAAGTCATACTCGTCTACCTTTGGTATCTGCGGTACACTGCGAAACCGGGAAAAGCCTTCTCTAAGATTTTATATTTTAGCCAAATTTTTCAGTGTCATAAAAATGAACATTACAGCATATAACAGGTATGAAGATCTACCCCAGTCTATCAATATAGCCGAGATTTACGTGTTACTGTTGTATGGTCATGGGGACCTCAACAGATGGAGAAGCAGATCTTATCTCTTTGAGGGTGAGCTTGGGTTTGCTATTTGACCCCTGAGAAACATTGGCCACAATGGCGTAATATAATTGGGTGATTCCTGGATTCCTCCTGCGTCGGTTTTTGCGGAGTCGAACTTCCAAGCGCTTCTTCAACTCAAGTTTCCGTTAAGCTGTGAAGAAGCCAACAGGATGATTGGCGAAACGTTTGCAAGTTCGACTCAGAAGCAATCCAGAAGCTTTGTAAAAAGTAAATCGGGTTCCGTTGCATTGGAAAACTTTACCGGAACTGAGGCACTACAGGGTTCTAATGGCGGAATCCTCACGTCGGCACCAAAAGAGTCAATCTCAGTTGCTGAATCCTAACAACACACTGCCATATAAGAAGGTGGACCACTACAGCACATGTAGGCTATATTTAGAAAAGTACGTTTTCGTGTTGACTTCTATCTAATAACCTGTTTCGTCGACTGATCAATGATAGGAAATATTAACATGTAACCAGAATTTCGTGTTTCGAATATCGGTACAAATTTTGAGGTTTAACTTTTCAGCCATAAAGTGGACATTACGTCACAACAAGAAATGGTTTCAACAAACTAAATGCTTTAACAGATGGAGGTTTATGTACTGTATACTAATTTGTAGAGAGAGATATCTTTGTTATTTTTTTCTTTCTTCAACTTGATCGCCATGGACTTTGCAAATTGCAAAAGGCGAGAGGGAAGCAACACGTATGTTGACCTACCCTTTCTCTTCATTTCACTGAGTGGTCGGTGAAAGTTTGTCAAAAATTATATAGGAATGGATGTATACGATGATTAGTACTTCGACGATAGGGTTATTCCAGTGTCATGCGAAGCGAATTAATACAAGGAAATAGGGTAACACTTTTTCTCTCATCGCTAATATCCCATGTTATGTTGATAGATATACTAGGTTACTGGATTTTAAAAAACATTAAATTCAGAATATGAATGGAGAATAAAATGAAACTGAGGTACAAAACTGTCCAAAGGATTGTCCCATTGGCACGAAGCGTATTCGCTCAAAATGACTGAATTCTCTTTAACCTCATACAAATCGAATTTCATTGTGGAAAGGGAAGTTAATTTATCTGTAACTAATAAAAAAATGTTCTTATCAGTTCATTATCTTTCTTATCTTTTTTTGTTAAAAAGAGGATCATATAATTAATGGGGAAATTTTATTAACTTACTTGTTTCTATTGGTTATTTCCGTTCCTTAATTTTCTACAGAGCTAGCATATAGATATATATGCGTGAGGTATTCCCATTTTATTTGAGCAGTTAGTTTGAATATTCGTATTACATATTATACCAGATTAAAGTACACAAAACGCTTTAAATTAAATTCTAGTATTTTATATTGAATTGGCAGGCCCGTACTAATGTCTGTGTTTATTTTGTAACGTAGACCAGTGAAAATATATATAGCATGCAGTCTCTAGTCCCTGGACAGTGAGGTTATTGAGCATTTCAATGAGAGACTAGTACCACAACAATATAATAAAATTCATGTCCTTTTTTACTAAAAAGATCAAAGTGCTACTCTACTTTACTTGCAATTAGAATTGCTCTAGTCACATAAGTCTCATTATTACGTAAGAAAACATTACTAAACACAACCACTCCCATTTTATGTATCCTGTACTTAACAAGATCGGTAAGACGGGATCAATATGATTTCCCATTTTATATCCAAGTATACTTATTTATTTTATCGACTCTTTTTGCCGTTGCAGTTGGGTCACCTTAGGAGTATTTTTTCTTGTTAAAACTCTAGTGCCTTAGGCATTGCGTAAAATATTTTAAACACCTGTAATTCCAAAATCATGAAACGAGTGCTTAAACATGGGCTTTATATTATTGATAGTTTTGGTTAGTTTAGGCTGAGAAGTCACAGCGATAATATACTTCCTGAATGCATTAAAGTGCAAAGTTTCGAATGGGTTATCGAAATTTTTCAGTAGTTACAGCATTAAATTGATCAGTTCTTATTCACTTTTTAATAGCAAATATTTGAGTATTATAAAAAATTATTACAAAAGAACAAGTAAAACTTAGCATTAGTCTAAATCGTACTGTTGATTTTATTCAAGTCTTAATGCCAGATTTATTAAAGCACTTTTTTGGGTCAGAAAGTAATGTTTTGTTTTATTTATTCAATTAAGTTGTTTAAAACAAAAATAGTTGACAGATGACGTACAAATTACGTGTTTAATTACGATGGAAGTTTAAACAACCCGAGTTTACCTATTTTTAGATTTGGCAAAATTACTAAATTACAATACAACTTAGCTAAACGTCGGCTAACTGAAACGTTCGCTGATCATAAAGCGCCAGTTAATTTAAGTGCAGTTTAGGCGCGGCTTGGTGCATCTTTTGTTAAAATTCGAATATTGAAAGCCCATGTAACGATACCCAAATTTGTCGGCTTGAACAGCACGTACATTTACCTTCACAAAGCAATTGCACCCCGTAGATATGCAGATTAACCAGTGATCAATTTCTGCCGCTCCGACAGACACGATAAATTACCGAAATTCCCTGGATGTCTTAAAATTAAGACGCTGTTCTGAATGCAAATTCGGAACCTAAGTCGTTCGAAAATATTCGCAAGAATTCACGCGGATCGAATTTACAATATTCTAGTTCAAATCTCAATAATAATTTCGAAAATGAAAGTGCCAAGTTCGCGTAATAAAATCGATGGAATCCGCCCCTACTAACGCGGGTTCATTTAAAATGCAAATAGGTGTCGCAATAATAATCGGCTAAGCTCCAGAAAACACGATTCCGGTATTAAGGTGCGTTCATTGATGAATCCGGGCAATATGAATATCACCCTCTCAGATATACGGGGTGACGTTTATATCTTTCCGGCCCAAGTGGCCCAAAAGGGTTCCAAATCGATATGGATTGTGTCCTGTTTTTTGCTGAGTTCATTAATTGTTAATCGTATAAATATAATTAATAAATAAATAAAACCGCTTTTGTTTTAAGTTCGCAAAAGGTCAGCTGAGTTGTTAACTTAACCGAGTGTATAACAAGAGATTAATATAAGCATTTTGGAGAATTTTGGAAACCTGTATACGAAATCGGAGTTCAAGATGATACTCAAGTTTTTACATTCGTCAACAGCTGGAATTTTAATCTCATTTATAACGATACCCTGTGCTATTTTGCATTACATCAATCCTTATTTAAATTATCTATATACTTATCAACTTATCTTTCTAAAATAGTTGGGAATAATCATTAAATAATAATATCAAAAATGAAATTCTAACTAGAAAATGGAATATAATAAAATATCACACTTCTCTTTTATTGAAGTAATATAATAGTAACGTATAATAATTATTTTCAATGTCAAGGAAACTTTTACCAACAATTAAATGGATTTCCAACGGCCTCCCCAATTTCATCAACACCGGCTCTTCGGATGGAATGTTTGAAAGAAAATATTTCTAAAATTATGAATTTTATTTTTTTTTATGACTGTTTGACAGCTATACTAAAACATAATATTAATGATAATACTTTTAATAATTTTTTAACTTATTTATAAAATTTAACTTATATAATATATTGAAAAATATTAGAAATAAACTTTATTGACTTAACTTTAAGAAGAAATCTTAATGATAATACCATAAAAACAAGTAGTATACAAAATATACATGGGCAGAAAGATATCTATATTATAATTCTAGTTACCTTAAATATCAAAAAAATGCTGTTATTATTAGTTTAATTATTATTATTATTAATTAACAGTTAATTTGATTTGAAAATATTTTTACGGAAAATTACATTAACAAAATTAAAAATAAATATTGAATTGAGGTGGGTTTTACTTGATGAAAATCCATTTATCAAAATAAATAAGAACTAAAAGTTCAGATTTTCACGAAATTATATACTATGACATGACAATTGTTTCGACAACATCGTGTCTTTATCAAATGACATTTGATAAAGACAAGGTGTTATCGAAACAATTGTCATATCATAATATATAATTTCGTGAAAATCTGAACATTTAGTTCTTATTTATTTTTTTAAAAATAAATAGTAAATAGTTTATCTGAAAAAATAGAACCTATTCTTGCTAAATATGATAATAGTACTAATAATTAAAATCTTATTTGACTGCATTAAAAACTGCAAAAAAAAACTTGGAATATTGGAATGACAGGTCAACTTTTCTATAATCGTACAACTGGACAAAAATGTATAAAAAACACATCAACTGCTTTAATAAACACGAAAATTTACCCCTCAGTAAGTTTAACTTTAAAGAAAATAAAATTTTGGCAAAAATAAAATAAATAAATTTTATAAACGATCTCAAAGTAGAAATTTAAGACAACCAAGATTTAATAATTAATAAACTAAAAATTTTAATCAACTTCCTAATTAATAACAATTTAATGTT